GGTGTTCGAAGCCTGCACCAGACTTCTTCACCTCCGTTCTCCTGTCCTGCCACTCTGCTTGGAGGGAGGCGTTGATTGCGTTAATTCCGAAGGAGGATGTGGATGCCAGATATATCAACAATTATAGACCAATCTCACTTTTAAACGCCGACTATAAATTATTTACCTCAATTATAGCGAATAGAGTAAAACAAGTTTTAAATTTATACATTCATGAAGATCAAAATGGTTTCCTTCCATTCCGCCAAATTAAAAACAATTTAAGAACCGTTATTGATGTCTTAGAATATTATGAAGCTCATCCAGAGAAACAATTTACACTCATGTTTCTAGATGCGGAGAAAGCATTCGATAACTTACATTGGCACTTTTTAATACAAAAAATCTATAACATGAATCTGGGCACTAAATTCGAGAATATTATCACAACAATTTACAATACCCAACAAGCCAATATACTAATTAATGGTGAACAAACAGGCCCACTAAGCATTGAAAAGGGCGTTAGACAGGGTTGCCCTCTCTCACCCCTCTTATTTATATTTGCTTTAGAATCATTGTTAACGCGGATAAGACAAAATTCTGAAATCCAAGGAGTTAGGGTCAAAGCAGAGGAATATAAATTACAGGCGTTTGCAGACGATATGGTTTTCTTCCTAGAGGATCCCATGGAAAAAGGACATAATCTAATAAAAGAACTAGAACAATACGGCTCAGTAGCAGGATTAAAGATTAACAGAAATAAGACGAAATTACTGACTAAAAATCTAACAGAGAACCAGAGGAAAGAATTAGAAAAAACCATGGGGATACAGGCAACAAAAAAGGTCAAATATTTAGGCATATGGTTAACACCACATAGTAAATCACTCAAAGAGAATAATTATGATAAACTGTTACAGCAAATTAAGAAAGATCTAGAATCTTGGAATAAGTTGCAGCTTTCTCTACTGGGCAGGATTGCCACAATCAAAATGAACATCTTACCAAAACTCCTTTACTTATTCCAGACAATCCCAATAAAATTACCAAAAATTTTTTTTGATGATATAAATAAGGTAACTCTTAAATTTATTTGGCAAGGGAAAAAAGCTAGAATCAGTATTAAGGCCTTACAAGATGCAAAAAGTAGAGGTGGGCTAGCGCTTCCAAACTGGGAATTATATTATTGGGCAGCCAACTTATTATGGTTAAAAGACTGGGTCAATTTACGGAACAAAAGAACTCTAGTCTTGGAAGGGCACGACCTTCAGAGAGGATGGCACGCATTTCTATGGGATGTGGGGAAAACTAAACAGGCGTACTTTCATAGACATCTTATTAGAGATTCACTATTAACTAATTGGAAAAAAATATGTAAAAAACATTATTTAAAAATTCCGATTTGGCTTTCAACAATGGAGGCAATGGTTCATCCCAACAATTTGGATATAACAAAAACGACTAAATATAAAGATTTATTAGACCCTTTAGGGAAATTAAGAACTCGACAGGACTTACAGGAACAGGGATTTAAAATTGATCAGTGGTTATATATACAAATCCATAGTAGATACAAACAAGATATCAAAGAGTTTGGAATCTATAGCAAATTACAACACTTAGATAAAATCTTATTAGGATCAAATAAAAAGAATATCTCTAAATTTTATAAATATTTATTGGAGGTAGAATTAGAGCAAGAGATAGTGAAAGGGAACATGATAATGTGGAGTAAGAATATTGGAAGAAGCATTACATTAACAATGGGAAAAGATCTGGAATAGAATCATTAAGATTACGAAATCTGCGGCGTACAAAGAAAATATGTATAAAATGTTATATAGATGGCACTTATCCCCTTCGAGGTTAGCGAAAATGAACCCAAACTCTAGTCCAAAATGTTGGAAATGTAAAAACATAGAGGGAACCTACTTTCATATGTGGTGGACCTGTAAAGAAGCCCAGAAATACTGGCAAAAAATTAGAAAATGGCTGGAGGAGATAACCAAAGAACAAATCGAATACAAACCAGAGTTCTTCCTACTAGGGATCTCTGATAAACATTTTCCTAAAAAGACGAAATATATAATAATTCATATTCTAACTGCGGCCAGATTAGCATTTGCCCAGTGCTGGAAATCATCCTGTTTACCTACAGATCAATTGGTCATTCAGAAAATATGTGACTGCGCAGAAATGGACAATTTAACCATAGCTCTTAAAAATAAAGAGTCTTCAGCATTTGATAATAATTGGAATGCGTGGTATAATTGGTTATATCAGAGATAAACTGTTCAAGGAATAATGGGTAATTTAAGCATAAATAGTAATAAGATGTGTATATTTAAAGTAAGGTAGGAGAATTGGATCTTGCAGACTGTCAAAAAGAATATCTGTTTGGTTTTAATGTATTTTCTTTTTTCTTCCGTCTCTTTGTTTTTTTTCTCTTTTATACTTCTTTTTCTCCTTTCTCGGTCGCAAGACTGAGCATTTTTTCTTTTTCTTTTCCTCTCTCTTTCTCTTCTTTCTTTCTTCTTTTTTTCTCTCTGTTGCATATGTAATGTTGTTATGTTATTTTTTAATTGTAAATTCAATAAAATTTATAAAAATAAAAATAAAAATAAAAATTCTGTCTCCCTCACAGGGAGTCATACAATGAATTTGACTCCTTTTTATGGTAGTGCTGAAAGACCGGTTGAAGCTCCAACTCAAGTAAGAGAGACGATAATAATAATTTAAAAAATCACAAAATTAGTGTTTGCTGAATAACTCTAGCAGTAGTACTTATATACCACTTCAGTGCTTCAGTCCTCTCTAAGCGTTTTACAGAGTCGGCATATTGTCCCCAACGATATGTGTCCTCATTTTACCGACCCAGGAAGGATGGAAGGCTGAGTCAACTTTGAGCCGGTGAGATTCAAAGTGCCAAATTGCTGGCAGTCAGCAGAAGTAGCCTTCAGTACTGTATTCTAACCACTGTTCCACCATGGCTCTTTTTAATAGAATGGTGATCCTGGTAGTAATTCTTTGACATTGAATTGTGGAAGACTGCTGAATAATAACTAAAACAATCACACTGACACCCTACACTTTTGAAAAGGCCTTGTTTATAACCAGCGACTATAACCAGTCTTTAAAATCATCCTTCTTTGTGTTCTGTTGTCATTCAGGAGGGTTTTGTGTCCTTTAAGGAGGTGGCTGTGTATTTCTCTGAAGAGGAGTGGTCTCAGCTGAATGTTGACCAAAAAGCACTGTATTGGGAAGTCATGCTGGAAAATCATAGGAACGTTGCCTCTTTGGGTAAGACTTTGCCAGAAATTTTATACAAAAAAGTACAAATTTGGAAAAGGAAATAAAGAAGATAAAATAATGTGATTAATGAATTAGAAAAAAGTATGATGAAATTTTTTTAAAAAAAGACAAAGTAATGAAGTTATATTCCTCCCTCCTCTTTCTAAGTTTACATCATTATTTCCTCCTTTACATAATTTATCCTTTCTAATCCTCAAGTACAAATTTGATCACAAGTTCATTTTTTTTCATTTTTTTTTCAGCTAAAGTCCATCAGGGGCCTCCAATCACTAATAAATATTGACATATCACATCTGTCTAATCGGAGTCAATTTAGTCATCATTGAGTAAATTTAGTCATTTTCCCCAACCATTGTAGTTATTGTAGAGTTCATTTTTTATATGTAAGTCTTACTATGGCTATCATACTCAGAAACAATCTTCTATGACTGTTGATTGGTGCCAACATAGTGTTCTGTTTTCAGTTGGATATTGATCTTTAAAGTTCTCTGTATCACTGAATGTCTTTAAATCCAAACTTTTCTAGCTTTTATACAAAGCCACCAAAGCATGACAAAATGATCATTGTCTGCATTTCCAACATAAGTTTGAGGTACATTTATACACTTTTGAATCTTTTTCTGTTGATTTTTGTATTCCTCTGTTTTGTTTTTCACAATTCATATTTATCTTTTCTACAAAATGAGATTCAAAATCTGCTTTATGTAGTTGAACAATATAGTTCCCTTTATTTGCCTAGAATATTTCTGATAAAATGAAAACTACAGTATATTGTTCTTGACTTAATTTGGTATTCCCGCAGCTCAAGTTTTAATGCCTCTCTATAGGTTATCCATTGTCTTTTCTTGCTGTTTTTTTTTCCTGCTGAAAGCCATTAGGATGTTTTGAGGCACAGCCTGAGTTGATATCTGTTTCATATTCTCAATGTGGCATTTCTAACATGATGATTTTAAAATCTAGATTGATCCTATATTTATTGTACCACAAATAGCCATGACATCCTGCATTTTTAGTTCTAAGACCCTCTTATTTCTGAGCAATTCCGACTTCTTATCCAAACTGCACAGCAGAATACATAGTTCAATTTCAGATTGGGAAACAAATATTTCCATTTCCTTCAAAACTTAGATAATTCAATATTTAATCCATGTTTTTTTCCTTGCCATACAAACCTAGATGTATCTTCCAAAATTTTAATCAAGAAAGTTCAGATCAAATTTTTGAAGGACCTCTCTGCATCGATGAAGTTTGAAGCAGTTATTCATTATATACAAACTTCCTATGCTTTGCTTTTTTTCCCCTCATGTTATTTTCATTTTTCTTTTCCTGTGAAGGTAATGACAGTGAAGAAGATGAAAAGTCCAGGGAGTTATTCCAAATGCTCAGTCGTGGATACAATATGAAGAACCCTACAGTTCTAATGGAAGTAGAAAGCCGTGAGAGAAGCCATTCTAATTGCAATCAGGAATGTTCATCTGATGTTCATGCATCAATGAAAGCCTCTGTGGCCCAGGAAGGAAAAATAAAAAAGAAATATATTGGAAAATATACAAAACTATTCATAAACAAATTAGATGTAGCTAAACATCAAACCCAAATGGAAGGAGAAGATTTTATATATGGAGACAATGGAAATACTTATAAATGGACTCTGTCTCTTCCCCATCAAAATGGGTCCAATAGATCTCAAAAAAGTATCCACACAGGAAAGAAGCCACATAAATGCATGGAGTGTGGAAAGAGCTTTAGTAGGAACACTTCCCTTACATGTCATAAGAGGATCCACACAGGAGAGAAACCCTATAAATGCCTGGAGTGTGGAAAGAGATTCACTTTTAGTACTTCTCTTACTTCGCATTCCCGGATCCATACAGGAGAGAAGCCATATAAATGCATGGAGTGTGGACAGAGCTTTACTTCGAGCAACAGTCTTGCTTCCCATAAAAGGATCCATACAGGGGAAAAGCCGTATAAATGCATGGAGTGTGGAAAAAGCTTCTCCCTTAGCAGTTCTCTTACTTCGCATTACCGGATCCATACAGGGGAGAAGCCCTATAAATGCATGGAGTGTGGAAAGAGCTTCTCTCTTAGCAGTTCTCTTACTTCGCATTACCGGATCCATACAGGGGAGAAGCCCTATAAATGCATGGAATGTGGAAAGGCCTTTACTCGGAGAAGGAGTCTTACTTCCCATAAAAGGATCCAGCAACGGAATAAGATGTATAAATGCAAGGACTGTGGAAAGAGCTTTTCTACAAACTGTCAACTTACAGGTCATAAGAAGATCCACATAGGAGAGAAGCCCTATGAATGTATGGAGTACGCAAACAGCTTCAGCTCACTCAGAAATCCTTTACATGAAAGAATCCACGCAGGGCAAAGGCCTTATAAATGCATGGAGTGTGGAAAGTCCTTTATACAGAGAATTCATCTAAGTTCACATACAAGAATCCACACAGCAGAGAAGCCCTATAAGTGCATGGAATGTGGAAAGAGCTTCTTATCCAGTAATTCTCTTACTTCCCATTACTCGATCCATACAGGGGAGAAGCCATATAAGTGCACAGAATGTGGAAAGAGCTTCTCTCAAAGTTCTTCTCTTTCTCTTCATCAACGGATTCACACAGGAGAAAAGCCCTATAAATGCATAGAATGTGGAAAGAGTTTCCCTAAGAACAGTGATCTTATTATACATTCAAAGATCCATACAGGGGAGAAGCCACATAAATGCCTGGAGTGTGGAAAGAGCTTTGTTAAGAACAGTCAACTTATTTACCATAGTAGGGTCCATACAGGGGAGAAGCCCTATAAATGCATGGAATGTGGAAAGAGCTTCCCTAAGAACAGTGATCTTATTGCACATATAAAGATCCACACAGAGGAGAAGCCGCATAAATGCATAGTGTGTGGAAAGAGCTTTATTAAGAACAGTCAACTTATTTACCATAGTAGGATCCATACAGGGGAGAAGCCCTATAAATGCATGGAGTGTGGAAAATGCTTTACTGCCAGTAGTAATCTTCTTGCCCATAAAAAGACACACACAGGGGAGAAGCCTTATAAATGCACTGAATGTGGAAAGGGTTTTTCTACAAACAGTTATGTTAATATCCATAAAAGGATCCACACAGGGGAGAAGCCTTATAAATGTACGGTGTGTGGGAAAGGTTTTATTATGAACCGTTCTCTTAATGCCCACATAAGGACCCACATAGTGTAGAATCCATATAAATCTGTGAAATCTGGAAAAAGGTTCAAGATGAACAGTGCCTGAATGTTCTCTATACAGATACATTTTGGTGAGAATATGTTTAAATGTTAGGTTTAATGACTGAAATATATACATTTTCTAATTACATTTACTGAATTAGAAAAGAGGTTTTTTTTTGAGTCTGATGTTGACAACTAGAAGCTCCAGAGAGATGAATTTACCAATGGAAACCAAATGCTAGCCATGTTTTAATTACAAACAGTGAATTTTTGTAGCTACTGTCATTTGAAGGTCAGCAATGCCATTTCACGTAAATAAAGGAACATCTTCCTTTCTTCATGTTTATCGCATTTTCGATTGGATCATAAGAAAGCCTTAATCCCTAATAAAAGGTTAATTTTTGAGATCAAGCATACAGCTTAGCTAGTAAAATATAATTCAATCTATTATATGGGAAAGCTATAAATCAGGGAAGACATGTAGGAGTTATAACTAAATGTGAATTACCAAAGTTCAAGTGATGCTATAGAAGATACCTTATGAACAGAACAGTTTAAGTAGCAATTGTTTTTCAGTTAAGCTGTGTATAGCTGTCATTAGAAATATAATGAATTGCAAAATTTTGAAATGAAACGGCTTGGGATATTGTGCTAAATTACAAGAATGTTAAAAAGAAACATCTGGTGACTGGGTAACCTCAGATACTCTAACTTAATTCTTAATGCTACAAAAAACTCACTGGATTTAGTCTCCAACTCTGTGTATTCAGTTTGGACAAAGGGCTCACATGAGAATGTATCTCTTCAAGACAAAACATTTTAAATCTTTCTCCCTCTATAGCAGAAATGAGAATGGGAATTTAGTCTGCAGTGTGAAGAGATGAGAAAATAATCCAACTCTTCAATTCACTATGAATAACAGAGCTAATCAATCATTATAGATACGGAAGGAGGGAACTTTTTTCTGTCAAAGGCTTATCATGTTTTGAGAGAATAATCATACAGGTATTCATTCGAGTGTGAAGAAAGTTTCAGGATGAGGAAATCCCCTCTCAGAAAAAGCCAGAATGACCAGAAACCCCTGAAATTCAGGTGCAAAAGACTTTCCAAGCATTAGGACCATATTTTGGCTTCCTATGGTGAGATCAGAGCTAAGAAAAAGTCTAAATTTAATGTGAATGAAAATGTATATCAATGGTTCTGTATACAACACCTGCAGCCCCTCCTTCACTGGACGGTTTATTGTACCGGAGGGGAAAACTGGATGAATAGCCAGAAAACGATGAGACCGCAGTATAGAGGGCTTCAGGCAGGCAGTCAGGACACCAAATTCCTTAAAACAGCTCCAGTAATGGAGGATTAAGATTGGGGAGCAGAGGAGAAAGTCCCCTGACAAATGCCTATGGAGATTCTCATACATCCAGAGGTCTTGGTTGTCCCAAAGGTACTTTTCCAAAAGGCAACTGGACTTCGTGTTTTCCTGGAAACCTTTTGCTTCTCATCCAAAGAAGCATCTACAGAACTCAAGGTGCTCCTTGGATAAGAAGTGAGACATTTTCAAGAAAATAGAAATTACGGTTGCCTTTTGAAAAAGTACATTTGGGAACTATTGACAAATCCAGAGGAGCGAAAAGAGTTTTCGTATATAAACAACAGAGAAGATAGAAATTAATATATCCAGTAAGATAGAAATAGTTGCTAACCTATAGTAATAGGAAGAGAGTAAAATGAGCAATGTGCTATTAACATTAACTTTACAAGTAAGGAGTGGGAGTTTTAAGTGCACCTTATTAATTTTTGTGGGAAGAACAAATTCTGTCTTTATATACGTTTACGATGAGAAAAGCCCTAACAATTGCTTATTGGTAAAAAATTGGGTGGCAGACAGACCTCTGAGTGTGAGAGGCTCCTGCAGGGTTGAACTTGAAGCTGTTTATTTAAATAATCGTGCATGAATCTGTATCAAAATGGAGAAAAGAGACACCAATTCGAGTTTTATGCCAGTTACTGTCCAATTTTTTATTAGAGAAATGGAAGTCAGACTGAGAGCCATACAAAATTAGACATCAACTGAACCTTTGATTCATGATCTAGAGATATCCCAGTTGCCTTAAATTCTAGAAAGGTTTTAACTTTCCTACTTATATTTCCTGAGGGTGTTTGGTATTCAACCCCTAAATAAAACATATTTTTCTCCCCCCCATGGTATTTTATGTTCTTTTTTCCATTGTTGTGTTCCATCATATTGCGGTTCCCCTTTTTCTCCTGTCACAGATGAGACGCTGTTTCGCCCCTCTATTTGTCTTCCAAGGAGCCTCGCTGTGAGGTAAAATTTCTGGAACATCCACCAGTTTCAACTTTTCAAGCAGCCAGTCGGTCTTTCCAATTATTCTTGGCTTCACCTGAGACAAAAAAAAATCGACAAGTGCAGGGAACTAGAGAACAAAAACAAAAGTCTCCGTTTTCCTGATTGTGGCTTCCCTGCCCCAGCTTCATGTTCCCCTTTAGGCTGGGGCCTGCAACAACTACAAGATACAAAATATGCTAACCAGAGAGCCTCTTGGTCCTCATGTTCTGCCTGCCTGGCTATTTCTGACAGGATTTAGCTCCTTTTGAGGTCTCCCTCAATCTCTGGAGCCTTCAGGTCAGCTGTTCTTGGGGGAAACTAGTTCAAATCCTCCAGAGAGATTTTTCTCCATCTCCACAGACCATTCTGGACAGGAAAGAGGAAGGTGGAGAAGCTTCCACCGCTGGAGACGCTTTTCTTTCACAAGGAGCCTTTTCTCTTACTCTCATGCCCATCGTCCCTTGCCCTCCTCCCCCACCCCAGATACGCTCCTCTTTCCCGCCCTTTTAGATAATCCTGGCACACTTTCCGAAGAGTCCAGCAGGGGGTTCTTGCAGCTTCAGCAGGGAACTGAGCATGCGCCGGGCTCTTTCGCTGGTCCAAGGCACCTGTTGCTCAGGATGCTCGTCCGGAGAGGCAGGAGGCGCGTCTGCCCTTTTTTCTTCCTCTGCTATGAGTGGGTGGCCCGGGGCCTTTGAGGGAGGCTCCGAGGCTGCTTGGAGGTCTTGCGGGCACATGTACCCCGGTGTGAGTGTCGAGTTGCGTGAGTGGCGGCTCTGCCCGTGCAAAGGGGTCCCGCCTGGAAGGGTGCGTAGAGAGGGGACAAGTCTTCCTTCGGGGTTGGAGTCCGGATCCCATGTTCCCCTGCCGCCCTTCATCATGCAGGGGCCAGGCTGGGGAGGGGGACATGCAAAGGAAAGAATGTGGGGTCTCCAGAAGGGGAGGGGGCGTTTCCTCCATTTCCTGGGGGAGTCGAAGCCGGCTCGAAGTCCTGTTGGTTCTGGGTGCAAGGACGGATGTGCGAGGACAGGAACTGGGGTGCTACTTCCCAGCCTTTTCCCACAACCGCAAAGGGGCTCTTCCTGCAGAAAAGAAGGGAGACGTTGCAGGGAGGTGCAAAAGTGGGGCTGATGTGCAGCATTCGCACCGTGTGCCCGATGAGTCCGGTTCTTGTCAGACTTCTTGAAAGTCTAGGAGTTGAAGTCCAACCGTCTGAATTTGGCTCTGTTTGAAAAAGTGTGGATTAGGCTAAGAAGCAAGGAAACGTGTTTGTAGGAGTTGTATGAATCAGGAAATCATGTTAGGCTTTAAATGGTTTATTCATTTCGGGTGTTAATCCTATATGTGTTTGGTGGTGGTTTGTTTAATTCAGGCTTCTGAAATTCCTAAAGGGATTTGGGTGAAATAATGAATGGGATTCAGCTGGCTAAAGTTTTTCAAGTTCAAAGGTTGATTTGTTTCTTTATAAAAATTGATATATAATAACTCTTACCTCAATTGGTTTTTCTGCAATTCTAATTATCAGTTGAATTATTTTGTGACAAAAGAAATGCAGACCAGCCACGAATCAAGTGGTGGAACCAGAAGAAGATGGCGGGACCCCTCATCAAACCGGAGCAGTTCCCGCAGATGGTCGACGGGCCACAGGAAGCGTGGTCCATGCTGAAGAGCACTGTTCACACTGCCGGCTGCCAACAGCTTGGTTGCACCAAGCCAGGACGGAGACGCATCGAACGAGATACATGGCTCTGGACACCGGAAGTACAAGATGCCGTACACCTGAAGAAACGGCTCTACAAGGCCTTTCTTCAGGACAAGACCAGCGAGAAGCTCTGCGAATACAAGGCGGCCAAAAAGGCAGCCAAGAAAGCAGTAGCGACAGCCAGAAGCTCCCACTACGATGACATCTACGAGAAGCTGAACACGCGAGAAGGCGAGAATGAGATCTACCGCCTAGCCAAAAGCAGACACAGGAAGACCCTGGACATTGACCAGTTTCATGGGATCAACGACGAAAGGGGAAATTTGATCGTCAACCCCAGAGACGCTGCGGAGAGGTGGCGGCAATACTTCGAGAAGATCTCCACCGAGGAGTTCCCACACCCACGAACCCCGCGAGGTGACCCAGTTGAAGGCCCAGTCTCAGGCATTTATGCCAGCGAGGTCGCCGACGCCATCAAGGCCATGAAAAACGGTAAGGCAACAGGACCAGACGACATCCCTGCCGACTTCTGGAAAAAGGCACTACCGGGCTCGGCATTGTGGCTGTGCGAGCTGTTCAACAACATCGTCTCCACGGGAAAAGTGCCACACGACTGGTACCGCAGCACCACTGTTCCGATCTGGAAGGGAAAGGGCAGCCCAGCGGACTGCTCCAACTACAGACCGGTCAGGTTACTGTCACACACTATGAAGATCTTTGAACGCGTCCTTGATAAGCGCATTCGGGA